GTCAAAAACCGACGAAAATGTTCAGGAAGTGAAAGAAATTGTGTTGAAAAATCGTCGAATCACGATTAGAGAAATAGCTGATGATCTTAACATATCGTTTGGCTCATGCCAATCAATTTTAACGGATGTTTTGGGTATGACACGTGTGTCAGCGAAATTCGTTCCAAAACTGCTTAATTTTGATCAGAAGCAGCGTCGCATGAACATCGCCCAAGACATGTTGAACGACGTCAATGATGATCCTGATCTGCTCAAAAGGGTTATAACTGGTGACGAAACATGGGTATATGGTTATGACGTCGAAACCAAAGCCCAATCATCCCAGTGGAAGAGCCCAGGAGAGCCAAGACCGAAAAAGGCACGCCAAGTTCGTTCGAATGTGAAAGTTTTGCTCACAGTTTTCTTTGATTACCATGGCGTTGTGCATCAAGAATTCCTACCACAAGGTCGTATGGTAAACAAGAAGTATTACCTTGAGGTTATGCGGCGTTTGCGTGAATCAATAAAAAAAAAATGTCTGGAAGTGTGGAAAGAAAATTCATGGATTTTGCACCATGATAATGCACCTGCGCACACGTCGTTACTAGTGAGTAGTTTTTTGGCCAAAAACAATACTGTCATCATGCCTCAGCCACGGTATTCACCAGACTTGGCCCCCTGCGACTTTTTCCTCTTCCCAAAATTGAAAAGGCCCATGAAAAGACGAAGATTTGCGACGATTGAGGAGATTAAGACTGCATCGCTGGAGGAGCTCAAGGCAATACCCAAAAGTGCATTTCAGAAGTGTTTTGACGACTGGAAAAAGCGCTGGCACAAGTGCATTGTATCAGAGGGGGATTATTTTGAAGGGGATAACACATAATTTTGAATGAATAAATGAATATTTTTTTATAAAAATGAAAAGTCACCTTACTTTTTGATCACACCTCGTATTCTGTGAATAAACAAATTTAATATTACACTATTAGTATTATTATTATTTAATTTACAATAATACACTTAACTGTCAAAATAAAAAAATCTATTCCTTTATAACTTTATTAATCTGTTCCTTTCTTATTTTAAATATTTTTCTTTCTTCTTTTTTTTCTTTCTTATTTCGTTATTTCTTTTCCTTTAATACAATGCTATATACTGTTGATCGCGTATTACATATGAATAAAATCAAAATAATAAAAGTAACGGTTAACAGCAATTACTTGTAACTCGTGCCCTTCTCTAACTGTTTTTACAATCACTAATTACCGTGAACATAATAGGTTACCTAACATTACGAAGAAGCGATAAAAGTAATGCAAACAGCATATATAACATTAAAAAAAAACTACTGATTGAAAATAAAAATATTACTGCCTTCTTACAATCTTCTTTCTTTTTCTTCTTCATATTTTAATTTATAAATCCTGTTTTTCTTCTTCTTCCTTTCCTTTTTTCTTGTTTCATTCCTTCCTTTCTTCTTTCGTTGACTGCTTTCTTTACCTATCTTTTTCTTTTCATACAACACATAAAACGTAAAACGAAAGCGACAAAATAAAATTATAATATTACGCAAAATATCAAAGTATCTATAATATATTGTGACGTATTATCGTTGTATACGACATCAAAATAAATAAACTTTGACAATGATTTAGAGGTAATGTTTTTAAAGCATTTTAACGTTTTTAAAAAAATTATGTATCAAATAACCTTTTTGAAATGTTTGTACAAAAATTATAAATTACTGTCAAAAATTACTATCAAATAACCTTATTGAAATATTTGTACAAAATAACTTCAAAACACATTCACAAAATACACATAAAATCAACATCTTAAATGTTATTTAAAAGTTTTTTACTTACTGGGTTCCCAGACAGTACAAGATATGCTAAGATGCAATATTCATACTGACAAGAAGATGGCACGAATTGTGAAATATGAATTGGAATGTAATCTATGCCATTCGGAAGGCGAGTTTGAGAGTGTAAAAAGCGTAAAAAGATTTGGGTGCATGGGTCCTCGTTTAAGAGAAATTTGCATGTGAAGTTCAGCAATGGGCCTGCTGCGCGGTAAGTACTGTGAATAAGTAGGAATAAAGCAAGAAGCGCGGTGGCCGAGAGGCCTGAGGCGTGCGTACTACTTTTACATCTGACGAAGGGAGTTCCAGACCACGCAGTATAAAATTTTTTTTATTTAATCAAAAAAGGTCATTTTATATATTTATTTATGTTT